AAAAAACCTTTTTTTTTTTTTAATGGTTGCTTAAATCACAGTCAAAATCATTGTAAACAGATGCTGAATATTCTATATCACACAGTAGAGATAATGCACCAGGTACAAATGTATTTAGATCTGATAAGGATTTGTTCACTCTGATTTGTACGACACAGGTTATAAATCACTGTCTAACGACTTGCTTTTTTTGCCGTGGTCTTTTTAAGTGCAGGGTTTCACCTAAAGAACACTGAGCAGGAGTCTTATTTTTCCTTGGACACTGTACTCGTCCTGTTTTTCTGTTCAAGGTTAATGGCCTCACCTTGCCTTTCTCTATTTTACTCTCTTTCAGGTGCGTTTCTCACAGCGCTCAGAGGTGCTGTTTATAGATGTGTGTGTGTGTGTGTGTGTGTGTGTGTGTGTGTGTGTCAGGCCTTGTTTGCTCCTCTAGACCACTAATACTCTCAGTGAAATAAGCGATGGTCTCTGTGATTCTATCTGTAGTGGAGCGATAAGGCCTGTGACTGCAGGGAGGACGTCCTGCAGAGAGAGTGTGCCAGATTTGTCCCATCCTCCAGCTCTGCTGAGGAATCTTTTATTACAGTGCCGTTAATAATGGTGTGCAAGCTCCCATCCCATTTGATACACTAGTGGAAGGGCTGATGTATGAAAGACCCCATGAAATGGCTTGATGAATGCAGTTTGCTTTCCTTTTGCTCTCCTGATGTATTTCCTATTGAAACAGATTGGGATAGGATATACTGAAAGACTCATCCTTTTTTATATGGTCAATAGGCTTAAGGTGCGGTCACATTTACCATTGTTTGGCGAATTTTCACAGACGAAATCCTGTCATTTCAGTAGAAATCCTGACAATTGGGAATTTCACATGAAGGCAAAAGATTTCCCCATGCATATTTCGAAACCGGTTCAGGGGTGAGTCTTTCAAAAAGCTGCTATGTTTAAAAGTGACTTCTGTGTCAGCTGTGCTGCACACAACACTGGCCTGTCATGATTATCGATTAATCGTCTGATAGGGGTGTGCGATATATATCGTCTGCGATAATATCGTAATTGTTGTTTTAACGATGTGCGATTTGACATTATCGTCTGATTATGGTTATCCCATCTAATTATTTGCAATAAGTGTGCAGTTTAAAGTTCACATTTTGCCACCCAAATGAGAAAATTCAGAAAATCTAAATGCATGATACTGTCTCTTTTTCTAGTACACAAAGGTAGTCAAAAGATCTTCCTTCGTACGAAATGAGGGTTTGTGGGTTTAATAAGACCATGATATGATATATGATATTATATTATGATTTTACTTTATTTTATCCGGTTCAAATTTTTGATGAACGATGACGAAATGGCAAAGCAGGCATTAAATATCGCAGGTGTTTGATTGTCAACAAAGACATCTCTTAGCAACCGAACTGTGGAGGGTGAAGGATGCTGTGCGACACTAGCATCTGTTCTGCAGGAGTGCCATTATCAACAGAGAGGATTGTTTATGATTTAATGTAGCAGTTTATTTACTGTACATCTGACTGAGCACCAACATGTGAGTGTAACAATGCAGGTGTTCAGTAACGACCGTGAACCTGCATCTCAGATTTTCTTCACGAGTTTCCAAGTTGAATGTTCAAGTGGTGTCAAGTTGTTCTGTGTTAGTGCATTCTGGTTTTCTGAGTTATACGTCCATCTGCAGAGCCACAGAGGGAATGTGTTGTACTCTTCTTCCTTGGATTTGTTGTTTCTGATTCATAAGATGTTGTCAGTCAAAGCCTTTGAATGATTGGTTTCTGAGGAACTCAGTGGTTGTGTCCAAATCACAAACTCTGAATAGAGAGTAAATACTTCACGACCGTTAAAAACGTGTGTTGTATGTAGTATATGGGTAGTATGAATGTAATCTGTACTATATACATCTTGTCACTGTCACGTGACCCTACCAGTGTCAGTTAGTTTTGTTTCACAAATCCACTCCCGTGGCCTCATGGGATAGTAAAGTGTCCATCAGATGCACACTTCACAATCTCGCCAGAAATATTAAAGTCATCCTGGTAACTTTCACCTACTGTTTTATGAATACTGTGAATGCGGACATACTACTCTTTTCACATACTGTTGTTTGCCTACTACAGTGTTACTCATTGCGCGGCTCGCCAAGCTTTAATGTGTGGCTCGCATGGCAGATGGCAGTAAATAATGCGATGATATGATCAATACAGATATTTAATAAAAACATTAAAAACAAGCCGCGCTAAAACTAAGCCATTAAAAAAACTCACACCGTGTCTACACTGGCCGCGAGCATCGTGGTGCGACAAAAGACAATAGAACCCATTATAATTATGGCCCTATGATTTCTGCGATGCGGAAAACGAGGACAGAATTGCGGAATCCAGTCATAAAAACAGAATTTACTGTATAACGCGGAATGTCTCGCGGAATTGCACTTAAATCAAATCACCATATTGACTGGTATCTGTAAATATTAAGCTGCAAAAATACCATTTAAATATGATCAATACAGATATTTAATAAAAACATTAAAAACAAGTAGGGCTAAAACTAAGCCATTAAAAAAAGCTCACACCATGTCTACTCTGAACGCGAGCGTCATGGTGCGACGCGACAAAAAACAATAGAACCCATTTTAATTATGGCCCTATGATTTCTGCGATGCAGAAAACGCAGACAGAATCACGGAATCCAGACATAAAAACAGAATTTACTGTATAACGCGGAATGTCACAGAATTTGTCAAAGTTTGGGTGAATAAATCAAAAGTAGGTCATTACACTTAAATCAAATCGCAATATTGACCGGTATCTGTAAATATTAAGCTGCAAAAATACCATTTAAATATGAATCCTGCATGTCTCTTTATGAATGAATGGCACAGACGCGCAGTTTCGTTTACTACACACATACTGAAGTGCGCAGTGTTTTCAGCATCTGCTGTTTCTGCGATGCAGAATACGCGGACAGAATCACGGAATCCAGACATAAAAACAGAATTTACTGTATAACGCGGAATGTCACGGAATTTGTCAAAGTTTGGGTGAATAAATCAAAAGTAGGTCATTACACTTAAATCAAATCGCAATATTGACTGGTATCTGTAAATATTAAGCTGCAAAAATACCATTTAAATATGAGTCCTGCGTGTGTCTTTATGAATGAATGGCACAGACGCGCGGTTTCGTTTACTACACACATACTGAAGTGCGCAGAGTTTTCAGCGTCTGCTGTCTCGCTAAATGAGAACATAAATACATGAAAAACAGTCAGTGTCTACTCTATTATAAATAATTTATATTTTAAAAATACCCAAAACAGCGGAATTACAAGATGGAAATATAGACTAGAAAGATATTTAAACTTGCTCT